TATTGGCTTATACGAGTTTTTGGTATCCTTACTAAGCCTAAGTCCCCCTGACCCGCTAAGCTGACCGTTCGAGCCGTTGGACATAAAAAATATTTGGTATGTAGTCGTAGAGGCTCCTTATGCAATCAGTGACGGAAACCCTTAACCAGGTTCCCCAGTAACCCCTCAATAATACAGGTACCCTTTTTCCGAATGGCCACTTTTAATACAGAGACCCCAAAGCCAAAAGGGAAAAAGGCTACTACTGGCGTACCTAGTCAACACATGACGAACCCAACCAGGTGTCTGACTCCCTCCTTAGGAGATCGGCCCGAGAAAACACAAACTGCAACTCTGGGGGGTCCGTCGCACCGGAAATTGTTTTGAGCAGCTGCAGGAGCTCTTCTGAGGGCTGCTTGGCCTGTAACAGGTTTAGGGTTTAGGGTTTAGGACTTAGCGGTTCCGAGAATGGGGACCCCAACATGGACCCCAAGATGTTATAGTCCTTATACTTCGCAGTACAAAGCAGCAGGTCATAAAGGCGCCTACAGCACGCGGGTATTTGGCCCAGAATGGCATCCCCAGATTAAAGAAATTCTTAGGTGAACAAGGAATCCCAGATGAGGGGAAGGTTCACCATGCTTGGGCTGATCTGGGATTAGGGTTTAGGGAGGGTTTGAGGTTTGTGGATATAAGTAGGCGCCCTATAGAAATAGGGATATACATGAAAATGAGGGATTATAGAATGGAGCCTACTATTTAAGGTTCATATATTTGGGTTCAGGGGTTTTACCCCAATCATCGAGAATCAAGTTCAAAACATCTGAAATATTACGGCTTTCCAGGATAAATTGTAAATAGCGATTAGGGGCATGATAATGAAAAATGTTCCGAGGAATGTCCCAGCTTGGATCCCAGGATTGTGGGTTGCCACACTCAAGCCTCACATGAGCTATATTCTGAACTCCTAGTATCCCCAGTAGTAAGCCCTAGAGTAGTCCCCTATATAATCCCCTATATAACCCCCCTTTAAGGAGTTTAGACTATAGTACACATTGAGAGGAGTTCCTGGGCAAAAGGTTTAGCAAGTTTCCATGAAAAATCCAAGCCCGGCCTGTGAATCCAACATGCACACAACAATATCTGCACGAGACGCGATCCACGTCATCGGCTCCAAATCTTGCGCAGACAGAGACCCAGCTACTTCGACGACTTCGATTCCTCGAAGAGTTGGCACCTGGGGCGGCATCCGCCACTAGGGATCTTTCGGGATTCCGCATTGGGGTTGGGATTGGGGTTGGTGGGTTTAGGATTGGGGTTGGGGGGTTTAGTATTCAGGGTAACTTACGGCTTGGGAATAGGGCTTGCGCTTTCTGAAGAGAGGGATACTCTGGCGGACCCTAGGCGGCCTGGGGACATCGAGACTATCTTGGGAACTACTCAACGAGTCTACCCATTACAGTCCCTTCAGCGAATGGAGTTTCTGGCAACAAGTACATGTCTACGTCTACATCGAAGAGCAACAACTTGGGACCCCACAAGAACCAGAAAAAGCTTGAAATGCCGCCCCGCGGCATACTCCTACCGAACTGTATCTTGCCTCCTTGGGCGCCAAAAAGGAACCACCTCACCCCGAATAACAAGCCTTGATAGAGGTCACCCATACAACGCCAGTATCATGGGTTCAATTAGTAAGCCACCTCATACTACCCCGCCTAGGTTCCCCCAAAATTAACCTTAAAAAGCCAAATGTTCCCTAAATAACCTTAATTAAGGGTCGAACCTAGGGGGTTTGGTATAGAGGGGGGTACTAGTTGAACCCATAACAGTATACATCAGGGTAAGAATCATTATCTGATGGAGGGAATGGAGGGAATGGCCAAACCCTGAACCCTAAACCTTGAACTTCAACCCTATACCCATAACCTCCTGAGCCCTAGTAAAGCCCTAAACCCAAAACCCTAAACCCTGGGCCCTAAACCACCTGGGTTCGACACCTTCCGGCATGATTTCACTATAGCAGCTGCCCTGTGCACCCAGTCTGGAAACTGCGCAGCTGCCTGATGCAAGAGTTGGGGCCAGTCGCCTTCATTCACCTGGCTGGTGTGGGATTTTTGGGCTTAGGGATTTAGGGTCTAGGGCTTAGGGATTCAGGGCTTAGGGATTTAGAGCTTAGGGCTCAGGATTCAAGGATTTCGGGTTTAAGATTTAGGGCTTCCCCGGTTGAGTCAACCATCGACCCATCCCCCTCTGTGAAGCATCCCCTGAGAGGATCCCAAGGGTGCCAACAAAAGCTATTCAAAATGAAAAGTGCAGGAATACTAAGGGGTACACTCCCCCAAACTAACATGGAAGCCTATATAGCCCCTTTTTAAAGGGACTGTAGTCTTTATAGGGCCCTTTTTGGGTTTCCATGTTAGTTTCCGGGAGGGTAATTGGTAAGGATCTTCAAAAGCCTTGCTGAAATTGTAATCCCCTCTCTTGCTGTCTTTGAGTGCAAGGCAATCGCCTCTTCAGGTACCTGCCACTGTGCCGGTAGGGCTGAAGTTGACGCGGGCTCACTGAGTAGCGCAAGTGCTTCCACCAATGCGTTCACAAAACAAGTCTTCCCAGAGGAAACATCTCCAACAACCTGGATTGCTGCAAGCATTATATGAAACCCTAAGCTCTAGACGCGAAAACCTAAACCTCCTTCCTCAAGGCTTCTAAGGTGGTACTTACGGGTCAGGTATTTCATCTTGCTGCGCAACCACCGAACCGCAAATACTAAACCATGTCCTAGGGATCCAAATGCCAATGTAGGTAATTTAGGGTTTAGAGTTTAGGAATTCAAATAGCCCCATGTAGGCAATATCTACAGACTTGTTGGGCCCAATGTAGACATTAGATATTATCTGTATACTTGCGTCCCTACATAAGGCCCCCGACTTCCATTTCATGTTCCATTTTTTCTATGTGATTCTCCATTGTTTGTTTTATTTGTATACTTGGATCCCTAGGGATGTTCAACAATGATGCAGCAACAGCCATGACCACTTGGGCGCGGTGCGGCTGCAGCGAAACCCCCAGATCTCTAGCGAGAGATTGCAAGCTCCAACTGCAGCTTGCGGGTCCCGGAAACCTGGCCATGTGCTAAGAATTGGGTTTAGGGCTTAGGGTTTGGGGTTTAGGCTTTGGGGTTTAGGGTCTAGGTTTTGGGGGTTTCGGGTTGGGGTCTATCCCCTCAAAAGCCGTGAGGCTCCCCAACTCTCAACGACACATCCAAGACACCTCAGCCCTAAACCCCAAACCCCAAACCCTAAACCCTAAACTCCATTATAGTACTTTCCATTCCATTTTCTTTTCCACTATCCCTGTATAACCTTTCCCAGCCCATCGTTTTGGCGTCCCCACCTGACATCACCCACCTTCGCTCCACGGTAGAGACGGTCGATGCGCAGCAGCATTCCATCGTCGGAGCTCGTGGCAGCCGATTCCATGGACATCTTCTAAGTTCAGGGGGTTCTACAGGGGGGTTATAAAGGGGGTCATATAGGAGTTTATATAAAAGGGTTATATAGGGGTTATTTAGAGGTCATATGGGGTTTATGTAGGGGTTATATGGGGAGATATAGGGAGATATAGGGATACAAAGGGATAAATAAGGTTTAGGGCTTTAGGGTTCAGGGGTATAGGGTTTTCAGGTCTGTCCTGTGGAAAACCTAGACTTCTCAAAAAGGGGTCCCATGGCTTGAGGCTGTGGGCCCTATCAGCCACGTTGAGGAAAAGCTAGGGGTTAGTGGGGTATATATTGGGATAATGGAAGATAAAATGGAAACTACTATTTAGGGTTTAGGGTTATATTGGGGTTATATTAGGTTAACGGAAAATAAAATGGAAACTACTAGATCACATATTATTTCCTCCAGCATATGAAACCCTGCTACCATTGCTTTTAAAAATCGGGATACAGTTCCACGGACCAGTTTGAGTTTCGCATATGCACCACTGGTTATCACTGCAGCTTAACTGTTACGACGGAAATAACTGCGAATACTAAATCATCAGCTTTATTGCTGCTAATCTATGATTGTCATGGTGGGAAAACCTTGACTGCTGCTTCTTTTGGCGCCGCTGCTGCTGACATCTGACAGTTACGCCACTGCTGCTGAAATCTGAGGGATACTTCGCAACCAGCATAATGAGCAGGTTTTTTGCATGGCTGCTTTGCTGCGCTTATAAGATGACTGCGATCACTGCTGTTCGCGCGAGTGTTCCTGTCAGGAGTGTGATTAGGTCATGCTACGGCTAGGTCATACTGGCAAGACGGTGGCGAGGAGTGCAGCGCAAGCTACGCATGCCTGGGAAACCGAAAGCGAGTTGAGGTCAGAATTGCATAAAGTAGGGGCCTATTCTATTCAACGTACTTGCATTAGATCATATCCATATAAGGACTATATAATCAGGGAGAATGTTGGAACTTATATGGCCTTCCATGGTATATAAGGCATATAGACGATCTTTCAAAAAACAGGCATCCCTGCCATGTACCCCAACATACTATACTGTATTCCTAGACGTGTAGGCACTCCCACACGCTCAACCCTAACCCCTCCACCCTCAGCCTCAACCCTCAACCTTCAACCTTAAACATTTTGGCTTGGAAACTCCCATATGAGCCACCCTGCGAAAGCATCAGGCTGCCAAGCCAAGGAGCAAGTGTGTTGCTTGTGGGGACCTAAAGTATTTCGTTATGGAAAGGGACCCGCATTGCTGTCAAGATGCGCTCATTCACTCCTTGCTAACAACAAGAAAGCAACCTACAATAGCAACGCGCATTGGCGGCTACAGGAAACCTTTCCGTCGGCCCTTTTGCAAGAACGCATGCGGATGTCCCTTAACCAGAGGTCCTTTGCGTCCCAATTCTTGGTATCATGCTATGGTAGCTGATGGGGACCTTGGGACCTCTGTTTGAGAACATAAGTAGATCTTCGCCGGCTTGGTCTTTGCAGCCAGTCTCGTTGGTGCGGGATCGCCGCATGTCAGTCAACTGGGCCGGCCTTAGCTTCCATCACCGTCATGACAGGAAGTGTTTGTTTTATCTCTAAGATTCCTGGACCCTGGCAAAAATCCGGATTTCAGCCGACTGTTGTGGTTAAAAAACACAAACTACAAACTAGCTTTAAGGAGCTTCCAGTTATGCCCGAAAGCTTGAACTCTTGCCAAGCACCTGCCTCCGTGATGTCCGACTGAATGCTTCGGTTCAGACCCTCCACAAATTTCCTGGCTCCAGGCGGTGTGGAATATGACTCCACAAAATGGAGGCTTGCAAAAATCTATGCTGATGATAAGTGGGGGTGTCTCAAAATGCATCGGCCCATTTTCAGGGTCCTTTTCATCTAGATGATTCTAGCAGTTTGGGTGGGTACTCGACAAAAACCTTTTTGGGTAACACTTGCATTGCTGCACACAAGAATGACACTAACGCTTGGCAAGAGTAACAACCTAATGGCCATGGCTACTACGAGTTTGCAACAACATTTGCTTTCCGGAGTGATTTGGCAACAGTAGCGGTGACAACAGCAGTGGCAATCAAATTCTGCCTCCCGGCACTACGGATACTCTTAAAAACAAGATCGGGAGCTTCATATGTATACAATACACGTATTGCCCAGCTATGATTCATCGCAAGCATTAAGTAAAACCCATGATTTGTCAAAATCGTGAACTCCACTGGTTCCTCATTCGGGAAATATCAAACATGCTATTTTAACAGTCCTTACTGGGCATAGCAACAGACGCGTTAAACAACTATATGCCATGGTCCAATCTAAGCCCTGCCCAAATCGTCACAAACACCTTGCCTAATCCGAGTTCCCCTTCCATTTTCTATGTTCTTCTGCATTTCATTCTGCATAATTTCATGTTGGCAATCCCCCTATTGAGGTCTCATAAACCTAAATAATAGATAGGGACCGCAAAAGTGTACCCCGAGTCTTGGGAAATACCCATACAATTGCTACAGACGCTAAACCCTCGTCTGCGGGCTCGACAACTGCCACGCGGAGCCCGAAGCTGCCCGAGCTTCGCGTACGGCAAAGAACGTCATGGAGCCCAGGTAAAGCTGGACGACTGCCGCCATCCGTGGCACCAACCTTCCTGGAGCCCCGGCGGGCCTGAAGGTACTCCCCGACGCAAAAAAACCAAATTCGGTTTGCTTTGCTCCCCTCGCATCAAACTAATTCCAGCGTTTTACGGAAACCGATCTGTGGTTTTGGGACCAGATCCGGATAAATTCCAAGGGAATTCTGGCGTCTCTGGGAACGCTTGCCGCGGCGTTTCCCGGACCACTTGTGGCTGCTTCCAGACCAATTCTGAACCAGTTGTGATCGTGCCGGAAAAATCCTTACAGAAAGCCAATACTGACCCATCACCATTGAGAGCACTGCTGCACCATGCAGCCTCGGCAGAAACCTAACAGCTCGTGGTGACCATTGACGGCCCTTGTATGGCCTTGGATGTCAGTGAATCTGGCGAAATAACCTCATAGAAGCCCGGCATATTGACGTCAACTCATCCGGCAAAAACGCCTCACAGGAAGCCAGAACCTCCAAGCACATCCATCATGCCTGTCCCCGACTGACTGGCGACCCCCGGCCCCAGCACAGTGGTCGTGGGGTGAGTTGACGGCTACGCACCATGGAAGCGGCCTGGGTGTGTCCCCACACCGGTGAGCACCCTGCACCGACCGACCACAAACCCTAAACCCCAAACCCCTAAACCCTTGGATCTCTGCTAGCCTGGCATAGCTGGCCGCGAAAGCATGGGCCGACTTCTGGGAGGAGATGACCCTGCCATCTGCACCAAATCTCACCCAGGGTTTAGGGCTCATGGGGATATGTTGGGATAAGGGTTTAGGATTTAGGTATCAGGTTTAGCGATTTGGGGGGGTTTCCGAAAAGAGGGGTACCCTTGGGGGGTCTCATGAATAAGGATTACAGTATTTTGGGGGGTCTATATGGAGGTCCGCCCTGTGCATGGAAACGACCAGTGCGGGCTTATGAATTACAGTGAGGATTTCTCTGAAAAACCACTTGGGGTGAGCGCCCAAGAGACCTTGGGGATATACGTTGAGTTAGGCCCCCACCCACTAATAGTGCTACATTAGGAATATATAGAGGCCTTAATATAATCACCATTATCTCTTGTGGTCACTATTACTGGGTGGGGGCCTAACCTAAGATATACGGGGATTTTTCAAGTCCAAGTGTTGAGCTGAAGTTTTGTGTCCAAGGTTGGTTATCGCATTTGAATGCACCGCTCACCTACATGCAAGGTCTCTCAGTTCCTGACAGAGGCTGCCCCTTTGCCAAGACATGGGTATTCCTCAAAATGAACTATGAGATCTTTTGGGTCAATCCTCCACCCAGTAA